TCAAATCTTTTATTGTCAAGATGTTTTTCCCCACAATTTTAGGATTTTTTTTTAAATAACAAATGTTATGGAAGGAAGTGCTGGTGAAGTTTGCAGACAGTTGCTTGCTTTGTGTGATTTGTGAGCCCGCTTTCCCTATGGATTATGCTAAATGCATACCTGAGATAATGCATAATACAATGGAATCAAATACCTCTGAAAATACTGACATGTGCTGAGAACTTTCTGCAGAATGAATACAAAGAATGTTTAACTTATGAAAATGCGTTTTGGTAAGCAAAATAACAGAACAAGTCTTCTACACAGAGTTATGACATCAGGTGACTCCATGTACTCTCTCCTAACCCCGGTATATTTCCAGTTACCTGAAGCTAATTTAAAATCTTGGCCTCATTAATATTGGTGAAGACACAGTTTCTCCCCAGCATCTGTGTAGCATGTTGAGAGGCAAAACACCCTGCAGAGGTGCATTGCCCTGCAGAGCCTGAAATCAGCTGTAACACAACGGGGGCAGGGGCATCATAGAGTAAATAACTGTGTGCAGTTTACTGCTGCTTGGTGCAAGAGTGAAAATCAAATGGTTAATTTGTTCTTCTAATGGAAATATTTCTCAGTGGCAGAGAAACCTTTGCTGCATTATTAGAGCTAACGCATTCTTAGCTAGTGAATGTTCCAGTCCAAACGTTAAGATAGGATTGTTTGCAATAGGTTTTGGAGCTAAAGAAGACTATGAGGCTGTACTGAATCCATTTATCAGAGGTGCTTCATGTTCCAAGGATACATTCCTTCAAAAAGGCTGAAATAAACTTCTCAGTCAAGTTACTATGATAAATGCTTAAGCTAGAAAGAGGAAATTGAACTTTATGCGGAGCATATCAAATATGGAAATACTCTGTAACTGTCTAAAAGTAGTAAACATTTCAGTTATTTGGGAAAGAAGTAAATAAGTTTTATTTAAAATCATGTGTATTAAAAGGCTATGGCTGCTCCAGATACAAAAGTAAATCCAATGAATGGATGTTTTTTTTCTTGTATATTTGAAGCAAAAAGCTTTGTGTTCATTTTTAACGTTGCCCATTTTCTCTTCTTGCTGCTAAGCCAAGATCTAAATGTTATCCTAACTACTTCATCTGTTTTGCATAGATAAAGAGGAACTTTTTGTACCTACTCCCAGTTATTTTGAGATTGTCTACCTGAACCCAGATAAACCTGCTGTCATCCCCTGCCGTGTCACTACTCCTTCAGCAAAAGTTACTCTACACAGGGAATTCCCAGCAGAAGAAATTGAAACAGATGAAACTAATATTATTTATGATGCGAAGAAGGGCTTTGTCTACCAGCACCCTACTTCTGATCATAAAGGTATTGTCTACTGCAAAGCAGAGTCGCAGGGAGCGCCTCAGATTTCCATCAAGTATCACCTACTCTATGTGGAAGGTAAGGTGATGTTTCCTATATGCTTACATCGACTCCCGTTTCTTCTGCTGCCGTTAGAAAACAAGTTTTAAAAAGTGGATTTGTAAAATGAGTGAAGTAGTCACTGAATTTTGAAATCTTCATTAAAAGTGTATGTGATAAAATCTTATTGGTATGAGCTCAAGCAGTTTCCCAGTGTAGGGTGGAAAGCTGCAGATATACATCACTTAACTGTTTCATTAGGCAAGCTGTGCATCACCTTGCCTCTTGACTATGTTTTATCAATAATTTCATATCAGAAAGTGACTGATTTCCTGTTTCCTAATGCTGTTCTTCTGTCAGTCCCCAAGGGCCCACCCTCAGCCACGATTGTAGCATCGCCCACTAGAGCCAAAGTCAGCGATGGTATCCACGTAGCCTGCACTGTCCTTGGGGAGCCAGATGTAGATGTGAGCTTCAGCTGGCAGTACCCAGGGCAGGAGGTAAGAGATGTCTGCCTTGGCTGAAATGCTTTTTGTTCTTCATAAGGGCAATACTTTGGAATGTGGGAAGAGTTTGGCAGAAGAGTCCCTGTGTCTGGAGTCCATATGAAGTTGGGAAGGAAAGAGGCAGCATCTAAATAACCAGAGAAACTTGCAGCTGTTGGAGTAAAAAGAAAAATGCTGGGGAAAACTGAAGTGCCTCCAGGTCCAGGGAAATGATGAGCAATAGTTTTGTGTGCTTTTTTGTTTATTATTATTCAGTTTTTAGCTAAACACCCACTGCCATCCTCTGTATTCAGCATCTAGCATTATGTTGAGTGAAACGTAGCAACAGATTGCAGTGTTTGTAGCCTTCAGGGAGCTTTTATTTCTGAGAGTCTTCATAACAGTTTACTCTCGGACAGGGAAGAGAAGAAATTCCCCTGCTGCTTACATGAGCTTTGTTGGCTGATTTTTTTCTTTTTAAATTTTTAATTGTCAACTTCCCTTGACTTCTGTATTTCATACCACAGTAACTGGCTATGAACCCCATTTTACAGCCTCGTAACTGAGAGTAACTAGAGTACAAACAATTGAAGGAATTTGAGGCTCAGCCTGGCCTCTTAAAACTCTATACCTTGTCAGTATGTACCCCCTGCTGCTTTTGAATCTCTGTTAGTTGAATGGCTGTCCAGCTATGGTTGCTGGCTGGTCCTGCCCCAGTGGTTCTACAGAGCGTTATGCAGAGCTGGCACACGCTACAGCAATGCCTTTCCAGCCCTGGTTCACTACAGACAGCTAAACATGTGAATTACCTCTTGTTTGCTCTGTATAACATGCTCACAGTGCAGGGCACGTTTGCTATCAGTAGGAGACTGCACCTTTCCCCTGTACCCATGTACAGGAGTTGAGAGACAGACTTTGGCTGTGCAGCCTGGAGCAGGTCTGTGTGCTGATCCGCTGCTGGGAACAGCTTCAGCTGTGCCTGGGTGTAACGGGGAAAAGTTTTGATTGGGTTTCTGCCCCAACAAAATGAATGGCAGAGCAGCAGCAGTTTATACTTGTTGCAGACTTTTCATAGTAAGGCTGTACTCCCATAATGCAAAAGAAATACTCTGAGAAAGGTTATCAGTTCCATCCCTCTGTTTTTAAGAGAGTTCCTGCAGTAACTGGTCAGTTACTGCATCTCATCTCGTTCCCATACCTCTCCCTCTTACTTTTGCTCTCAGATATTTTTTCTCTTGCCGCTCCCTGGTGATCACATTTGCCTGCTGGGAACGCATACCGATCTACTCCTTCGTATGCTTCCCTGAAACTATCTTCAAAGCAGAAGGCAATTACTATTAGAAAAGCTGGGCCAACAGCCCAGGCAGGCAAACAGAGTCTGCCTTGCATGGCGTTTACCTTCACTTTTAATATGGTCAGGGAAGTTCCCCTTGCTGTATTCAAGAACTAGCTTAGGCTTGAATTTCAGTGTGCATCAGTACTTGGCTGTAGGCAGTACTTGGTTTTCAGACTGGAAACATGAGGCTACTGGATGGAGGCTGGAAGGAAAGGCTTTAGTGGCTCTTTAGGCCAGCTGCTCTTCACCATTCCTTTGCAAATGCAAAGGCAAGATAAACAGTCCAAAAGGGCATTCAGGTGTGGAAGGAATATCCTGTTGCGATCAGAAGAAAAAGTATTTTTAAGGTATATTTCTAAGTATCCTCATACATATTTTTGGCTTTGAAGTTGTATACAATTCTTTTGGAAAATGTGGTATGAGAGTTGATGTAGAAGCAGCTGTGGATTGTTGCTGTTTATTTGTATGTCATTTCATACAGCATGTCTGAAACTAGAGGAAAAGGAATTAGTTACATAATGTGATTCGAAGCTACTTGGACTATCTGACTTCTTACTTGGGAGTTTGATAGAGTAGCATCACTAAATACACTTGCTTTATTTCTTTCCTCTTTAAACAGCTGGAGAGGCCTGTGATCACACAGAATTTCTGGAGACTGATAAACAGAGGGACTGGACACACCACAAGAATTTCAAAGAGTGTTCTCATCATTGAGGATTTTGAAGCCAGAGATGCTGGAAACTATATTTGTATAGCTCAGAACATACAAGGAGCAACAACAGTGGCAACTAGAGTTGAACTAAACTAATGGAAAGGCTTCTGGACTCGTGATGAACTGTATGTTGCTTTGCATTTTAACCATTGTTTTGTTTATTTTTTGTTAATGTTTATATAAAAGTTTTCTCTATTACATTCTTTTCCTATGTCAATGCCTTCCACTTCCACTGGAATGCCAGGCCAAAACATGGTGCCTTACACCTGGCCGTAATCAGTTGTGAGTTAGAAACACTGCAGATATATTACTAAGTTTAATACTATAAAGTGTAATCTTGAAGCCTGAACATGCATATGGCTTATTGTACTTGGGAATAGATGCTTGTGCATTTTCCTTCGCATGTGGCCTTTTTGCTCCAACTCTTTTACAGGGGTAACCTGCTGGATGGTTTGTGCCTTTTTCCTCTGTGAAAACTCAGAGGATTTGTAACATCTTCAGAAACCCACCAGTGCAGGGGCATCTCTTCTGGTGCTGTGCAATATAAAATGTAGAGTACTGTACATGTTTAAAACAAAAAAGCAAAAAAAATTCTGACAGAACTAGCCAATAGCAATATTTCTTAAGAACAATTAAATTTCTTAACGTTATAGAACTTAGTGTGCGTGTTCATTTCCTATACATATATGTATGCAAAATTCTCAGTCTTGGGAGAAGATGAGTAATAAATGTTTTATGTTACCAGAGAGTGTCTCCAGAGACTTGCAAATGAGTGACTATGGTAGATGTCGCATCCTTAGAGTTCAGTATGTTGTCCACTTGCACTGCATTCTTCAACAGATGTAGCAATGCTAAAGTAAAAACTTGCATTCATTTATGGCATAATTTACAGGCTAAAATAACAATGATTATAAAATAACGTTCAATTATACAGCAGATCTTTCCTCAAGTTGATAATTTCATCTTGGTTGTGTTACTTTACTGTGGAAGAAAAAACGTTTGATTCACACAGAACAGCATCTGGATAGATAAGCAATTGCTTCTCACCACAGACTGCTGCTATAAGGAAAGAGCCCTTCCAAGAGAAAGGTAAGATCCCCAGTACCAACGTTGTTGGGCATTTCAGCAATAGTTTCCCCCCCCCCCCCAAGGCTCAAGCATAGGATCTGTGTAAGCTAGAACTTCTAATACAGAACTGATCGGTAGTGCAACTGTGTAACAAAAAGTATCTCAATGCAAGCAATTGTATTTACAAGGCATGTGGAAAAACAGCTTGTTCTGAAGGTGGGGAACCTAATTAGCAGCCAGTGCCTTGCTTACATGCTTCTGTACATCTCAGCCTGCATTTGAATAGCATTCCTCAGGATTTTATTTGGTGCTGCCTCGAAGCAATTCCTTTGCTCCAGGTAATTCAAACCTGTGAGCAAATGTATACAGCACTGCTTTGAGTGGCGACATCTATAAGTACAACTGCCATAAGGAATGGCAGTGTATCTATCCATCAAGTCATGAATCTGATTAGTACTGTAACTAACAGAGTGCAGGAACCTGAACAAGTGAACTAATGTGATGTCAATGCAAGCCTGAAATGGCTGTGCAAGGTGTCCTGAAGGAGGCTGCAGAGGGAACACACCCCATGATCCGTAACACTGCTGTCCTCTGGAAGTAAGGTAGCTACAACAAATAATGCGCCAAGCAATTGGACCAACTTAGAATGCATAGGAAGCAGTTCTATGATAATTTTCTCATTGCTATTAAAAGAAGTCAGGAATGTTACAGTGTTACTGAAATTGCCCAATAGTTACTGTATAATTTTATAGTAATACCTGAACAAGGACTTTGTACAGTTGTTCTTTTTTCGAGACAGGTCTTTAATCTCGCCGAAGTAACTTTAATAATCTCTCAGCTTCCGGATGGGGCTGTGCCATGTTTTCGTTCCTTTTTAGTGTTTTCATTTACCAGGAAAACATTTTGCTTTAAACTACAGGAGCTGTGTCAGCTTCTTACATTTCAAGATGTTCCCAAGCCTTACAATGGACAATTACATTTTCTCTCTCTCCCACTTGCTGGATATTTTAGTGACACCTGTCCAGACTTGTTCAGTTCATCATCGCTTCCTTGGTGACAGTTTGACAGGAGAGAAAAAGATCATGTGAATGCATCACTGGTCGAGTGGCATCCCTTCAGTTTAACTGTTATGTGGGCTGAGCACATGAAGGTCTCAGATCCAATTATGTCCACAGAAGTCTTTCTGGAAGACTTCTCTGTTTTTTCTTCCCTGCAAACATTAGAAACATTCCCTGCACTATTACAAACAATGAGAGGAAATTACCACGTATGATGACAGTTCTTATTTCCCAAAAGCCTCATGGGCAGGCCTGATTCTTTCTAGCTTGATGCAAATGCATACTTCCACTTAAATAAACAATGACACGGGCTGAAAGAATGAAGCCTGAGAAATGAAGTCTAAGTGACCTGTCAGAGTCACATGCCCTGACCTGCCAGTATTGCTCTTTCTATTTCCTTGCCTCAGCCTTGCTTTACCAAAGCAAGTCAGCAGCAATTAGTGATGGTATTTCTTAATTTTAAGGAGTAAGTTACTGTTTCAGCTTCCTGATAATCTTTTAACTCCAGCTCAGCCTAAATTATTTCCTTGTCATCAGACAATTGCAGTTCTAAAGAACAGTGTTTACTGTAGAAGGAATTTCCAGCACAAATGGCCTGATAGCAGGTTGCATGCAGGTGCCCTTGATGTCTGCCATGAGAATTCAAGGAGCATAAGGAAATGAGTCAGCTTAGATTTTTCTGCGAGTATGGTGCGATTCAAAACCAAATACTTGAAGGTATGAATAGCTGGAATGACAACCAACCATTTGGTAGAGATAAAAATGTCATTGAAATGATTTTCCATGAAATTTTGCATTAGAGATAGGTAAGGTGGAGTATCTGAAGAAAAATCACCAGTGTAATTGCTCTGATAGCTCTGGACCTTTAGAATACATCTACAGGAAGCAGGTTTTAACTTAAGTTTCTATGCTAAGGAAATGGTCAGAAATATGTAGAAATTACTGGACTTTAAGGCTTTATTTGCCTTTGCTAACACATAGTATCTAAATCAAAGTTTGAAATGTTAATACTCAGTTAAATAGAGATAAGTACTGAAACACATGAAAAGAACATTCTTTTCTGACCAATAGCACACGTGGTGAACTGGCAATGCTATGGTTTGATTTTAGTATACAAATATTTCTTTTTAACAGCATTAAAAATTCTGGTTGCAAGCAGTTCGGAGATGAGAAGCGTCCTGTATTGCTGACTTACCTCATTGCCCTCAACAGTCTTTGTATTACTTCATATGCCATACTTACTGTTCTGTCCCAGTGCACTGGAAAAGCCTTCCCCTTCTCCCTGGTGTGCAGGGATGTACAGCTGCCTGTACTCTTCTTCTGTCCTTGTTACCTGGATTGCTGGATTCTGCTGTTCCTGAGTTGTTGCTGGTTTTGTTGTTATTTTTTTTTTAACAGAAAAGAATCCTCACTAAAAAAGTAAGTTTAAGAGGAGTCTTTTGGGTGCCTTTAGCAGAAGCATAATCACAGTGGGTGCCTATATTAACCCAAACGTATGAAGTGTTTTATCATTGCATAATTCTGGGGATTCTGTGATGTTCCCTATGTGTGTGCTGGTGGTGGTGTTTTTGTTGTTTTGGTTTTTTGTTTTTTTTTAAACAGCCACCTGAAGCTGAATAACTGATAATTATAAGCAGCTCTGTGTAATTTCTTCTTATCAGAGTGGCAGGGTAGAGTTACAATTTCTAAGGGTTAGGTGAACATGAATTTTTGCAGTGTAGCTTCACTACTTTACTTCTGCTGTGCTGAGCAGGTACTAAGAGAGATTTAATATTTAGAAGGATGTTCCTAAATTAGAGATCATTTGACTAACAGACGCAGGAAAAAACCTTTCAATTAGTACAAAAATTTATTTTTTAAGCATTCAGCTCAAATACATGTGATTAAATGTCTTTGACCATAGCAAATGAGTGTTCCAGTATATACCTTAAGTTTTAGCCCACAGAAGATTTTCATAATTAAATTTGAAACCCCAGAAAATTAAAAGCATTGAAATCACTAACAGTGTCAAGTACAGTGCCTTAAAAGGGGTTAAGAGTGTAATAGTCTGTAAAATGGACCCTTAACTTGCACGTAATGTAAGATTAAGTAAATTGAATGATGAAACATTTTTGTTTCATGAATTGATCACAAGTTTAACACATTACATGTTTACTTTTGTATGAGCACTGTTACCAGTCTTGTTTCTACATTCATCGTTAAGATTGAAGTCTTGGGTAACATGGTTGGAAGTGGTTCTCCAGTTTAGTTCCCTAAACATTTTCCATCTCCTCAGTTTCTGTTCTCAAGCTACTGGAAAACGTGGGCGAACGTGGCTGTGTCTTGTCATAACAGTCAACTGTACAGCTGACAGCATTAGCTACACTGTTACATAACTGTTATGGTGGTGCTGGAAATGGCATTGAAAAACCCAAACCCAGTGTTGTAAGCATGGAGTTTTGGAATACAAATCTGAACCTGTGTTTAGTAGATATGATGTAGAGATTTTAAAACAGGTCTAACCAAGGGAGTAGCCAGGCTTATGTGATCACCTTGGTGAAGCTGAAACTCAGCATACGACATTTCTGGTCGTGCTGACACCCTGAACCGCCAGGTTAAGCAGGCAGGACAAATTTTTCCCCTACTCTACAGAATTTCCTGTACAGGATCTTTTGCCAGATGAACTGGCAAACACTGATACCCTGCAGGCTCAGAGAAAAGGTGTAGCAGATTTAGCAAGATAATTATCCACAGCTATCACCTTCCCTGTCTTCTTCCGACAAACGTTAATACAAATGCTAGTGCTTAAAAAGTGAACGTGGCACCAGGTGCACTGCAATTCACAGATTACTTAAGAATCTTATTGAGAACTTGAGCACTTAATTATTGCAGTTTTCTCTGGCTTTCGAATCTTGTTTCTCTTTCAGTAGATGGTCTCAGCCATGGACGTGTTGTTTAAGGATCTGTTTTCAGCAGGTAAAGTGATAGGTCTGCCACTGTACTGAGAACTTCAGAGTCAGCGTCCTTCAAGGTCAGATTCTGAATCTGTTGACTTGAAAGACAAAATCTACTGCAACTGCCAGCCTCCTCATAACCAATGCTGTTGTGCATGCACAAAATGGCTACAATTCAGTTTGCTTTTAAAATTCATTCCAAGTTGCATAGAAGGGCAGGCCAAGACACTGAGTCAACGGACAAAGCTGTTCACACTATTCTTTCACTGAAGACAGGGAGATGAAGGAAAGTAACCTACGGCACCAGTGGCTGTCTCTCATCATTTCTGTGAGAGCACTCTTGGCTAACAGCACGCGCTGACACCATTGTTAAGGAAGTACATGCCAATCTGTAGTCTTCAGCTTTTATCCTTTATTACATACACAGCAAAGAAGGCAGCATTAGACACACGCATGGTGTGTTACATCCATTCCATCCACAGCACGCATGCGCACACGCAAACAAACAGCCTTTAAAAAAGTGTGTGTGATAAGGAACATATTATAAAGGTTGTGATCTTTATCTCTAAGCCCCTGAGCTTTTCCTTATGGTTAGGTGAAAAGGCAATGAATAAGTCTTTCCTTGCTCTCTAAGTGCTTTGTGCAACTCTGTCCATAGAGGTCATAAACAAGTCTTTTTGGGAGAAGCTACGCGAGCCTCACTCCCATAGTCTCAGTCTCTTATTGTCATTTTTGCACCAAGTTTCCAGTTGTGTTTAGTTGTCATACTCAGCTAATATAGCTCTTGCTCCTGCGATTAAAGTTATGATCAGTTCTGCAGACCACAAATGAAATGCAGTCCCCTTTCGTTCAAGATGTCATCTTGGTGAGACGGTAGGACTAGAGAAGTTACCAGAATTTCGTGGGGACTGAAGAGGCACAGATGGAGAACTGGGAGACAGTTTTCTTGGGCTGCATAGATCGCCGTTATGCAACTTCCACAGAAGTTCTTCATTTTCCATTGACAAACGTTTGTTGACTTTAGATTCTTTCTCTAAGGACTCCTGTAAAACAGCTTGCTCAGTAGAAAGTTGCCTGCAAAAGACAGATTTACATCAGAGCATGTCACAGAGTTGGTTACGGATTCGTTGTTCAAGAATAGTTTGAACTTCCATAAAACTGCTTTGCTTACAACTGAATTACTTCCTTAGGATGAGAATGAAATGAGGATTTATCACGTTTGCAGCCCTGTGGGATTTACAGTTGTAGCTTGGAAAAGCAGGAGGAAGTTCCAACAAGGATTATTCCTGAAGGCCAATAAATTTGACCAGAAAAAGTACCTGAAAAGTGAGACTTGTCCCACTAACAATGACATCTTCAGTGGCCATGCTCAAGCCTTGGGCTCTTGGAGCAGGCTCAGCTCTATGCAGAAACTCAAACAAAAAAGGTTTTTCTATTCATTCCAGGAGCATTTAAAGTTAGGAGAACCTCAGACTCATTTTATTCATGCTAAATATTGCTGTCATTGCTAACTAAAACATACTCGTCTTTTCACTGATCTATATTGGGCACAAATCACTCAACTGAAGCCGTTAAAAGTTGAGTCAGGTTTAACTGAGAGGTCAGTAGTACTTGGTGAGCCTGCAGCAATCTGCTCTAAGGTGGAATTTTCTGAGATGCTTCTTCTCCCTGAAATGTTGCTTTAGAGTGCTTTGATGAGCCTTACTTCACAGTCTCTTCCTGTTTGGTTTTCTACAGAAGAATGTACAGCTATAAAGACAGAAGTGGAAAAGGAAAGATTTCTTCTACAGAAAACTACATAAACCTAGACTCTGATGTTTACACGTTTTTCTTGTTACATCTTGGAACATCCTCCCCAGGTTAGTGAGAATATCTTAAAAGTTCTCAGATATTTTTCACCTTGAAAGTTCCATGTGCTTGTCCATCCGAGCTTTTAATTCTTCATTTTCCTGCTGAACCTTCTTTAATTTATCCATTAGGATGGTGTTGTTTTCCACCTTAGAATAAAAGGTCACAGTTTAAAATAAAAGTGACACACATGCACTCAAGATACCAACATTCTTAGCACAGAGTTTACAGACCTTGTTACAATAAAGGGAAAAACGGGCAGAGTGACTTTTGAGTAAGAGGAGACTGACCTGCTCTCATGGCTTAATATTTTGAAATAGTCAAACAGGTCTACTTACCTTACTCTTGTGTAACACTGGTGTTGTGCCACTTTTGCTGATTAGATGGCAGAAGAGAAGCTGGATAAGGTCTATGCTACTCGACTAGCAGATTCTAGTAACTTTTGAGAGTTACAGGCAGCAGTTCTGTAAGCTGCTGCAGACTGGAGGCTGCCTGAAGTACCATGCTAAAGCAAGAAATGGAAGAGGCTCCCCTTTGTACACACCTCTCCCTGCTACTCTCCTGATTTTACTCCATTGCTGCAAGATGTTACCAATAGTTATGGAAAAAAATAATTTTCAAATGGTTGTACATTCCAAAGGCTTCTCTGCTGTGACAGATTTCTGTCAGAAAGATGAGTGCTGACAAGTAACGTTCTAGTTGTAGATCAGTGGTACGGTGCAACATATGATGTTGTGCAACACTCAACAAATAACATGAATGCATTCCCTTGGATACAAACCCTTCTGTATTTTCTCGTTAAAATATTGCTCAACCTGTTATTACAACTCCACCCAGGATAAGGCCACAAATTAGATATGCCAAATAATGTTAAGTTCTGCCCCCAGAATTGCTGTTTCATGTAAAATTATGCATGGGTTGGGAACAAATCCACACAGCTGAACAAATACTTTAAAGCTGACAAGTGTTTGATCTGAGCTAGTCAACTCCAATGAAAATATGATCTCTTCTTGTTTAATTAATGTAGCTACCATGTTAAGGTTTTCCTAACAGTGCAGTCTGTCTTCCATAATACTTGAGTCAATGTGAACAGGCGAGGTTTTGTTTAGGAGATGGGGTAAAAGAGAGGAGGTGTAGAAGAGGCTCTCAGATAGCTCCATACTAACTTGCTATAGTTTGTGCAACTCAGTAGCTGTCTTAAGAGATGGAAAGACCACTTACAGCATTCTGTTCCCCCTCGCTGCAGCCCAACACAAACAAAATTGTACCTGCAGTGGGAATGCACCCCATAACTTTTGCTAGAGAAACAGTCCAAAATTGCCAGACCACAAGGGAAACCCACCAGTTTGTCCATCTTCATTAACTTTACATCTTGCTGATGGAGTTTCTCATTCTTGATCTCCAGCACCGCTTTCAAACTTTCCAGCTCCTGTTCCAGATACATGATCTGCGGGTTTTTCTGAAAGATTTCCACAGAGTTTGCTTATTACCTTAATTTCATGGATGATTTAAGTGTTTCCCTGCTATTTAAGAAAGAGCAAGAAAATAAAGATCATAATGACAGTTCTTTGTTCTAGGTGAAATCAAGTTTGACAGCTTTGCATAAGAAAAAGATCCGCTAGTGCTTTCTCATCTGATTTTCTTTGTTCTTCTTCATTTTAAATCAAGAGTTGCAGTTTCCCTTAGCAGGTGTTCAGAATAGACTTTGTACACATGTGAAAAATCCTCATGAGTCAGAGGATGGCACTGTGGCTGTCACAGCCCAGCCTGTTCTGTGAGAGTGCTGAAAGGCTCCCTTTAAGGCGAGGAGTTCCAAAATTTATTCTGCATTACTCAGAACCCATCCCAGGAGATAATGAGAGTAAACATTTGAAGAGTTTTTCAGGTGCTGGAACGGTTCAAAAAACACGCAAGCTTATAAAGCCGTGCATTTGGCTGTAGCTAGTTTTCACTGTTTTCTACCTGAAGGTACGTAGTTCATAAGAAGAAATTCAACATTTTTCATTTTACGTCCTTCCAGAAGGCCTGGCAATGCAATTGCATTTAAAAGTCCTGCACTGTTTTGTGTTTGTCACTTATCTACAGTGCAGTACATAAGACTTGGTGATAGATAGGGGGGGGGGGGGGTGGGAGGAAGAGTGGGGACAGACAGTCTGTTTTTTTCAGAGATGTCTCTTCCAGAGTAAGGAAGCATTCAAGCACTGTAGAGTAAATCGCATTCTTAATATTTCAAAGGCAAAGAAATAATGAGGAGAAACAAAGTTCATTTCAAGATAGTATGAATGGAAAACAGACAGAAGTTAATCAGTAGCTGAGTCTATCTTTAAAAACAAACAATTTCTCTTAGCACGTTTTGGTGGAAAGCTGAGGTACCATGATGAGTACAGCAGCCGAAGGTGTGCAGGAGATGCCTGCAGTTTTGTGGGATGCAGTCCACAGCACATGTCAGAGCCCTGTGCAGGAATTAAGTACAGAACCACCACACTTCACAGTGACACAAGGGCCTGATCCGGTCTGTGTCTGTTCTGCCTGCTCTCCTGTCCTCCTCTCTTGCCTACTCATAGCAGAACACCAAGCCAGATAAAAAAAATCTGAAAAGAGCCAGATAAGGTTTTAGCAAAAAAATATAGGAATATCAAGTGATGCTACTTAAATACTACTGGAAGGCTAGGCATACGCTCTATTGTCAAAGGACAAACAGAAGTTCTAGTAGTGCAGCATGTGTGTTTACTAGGGAAGAATATGCTAAATCAAACCATTATCTTTCCATACAGAAGCATGAAGCTTATGAAGCTTATCTGTCAGGATGCAAAGCGTATTTGCAACTGTGTAAAATCACTTAAATATTGCTCTAAAATAACATCTGAGCACAGCTAAGCACAGTGTTCTCTTTGGTATCACCTCTCCCAAACACAGCAACACTGTGTTCTTGCATTCTTCGTGCAGCTCTACCCTACCACTAGAATAAATAACAAGAGAAAAAAAAATGGTCCAGTGAGAATTAGAGCTGCTTCTAGTTGCTAAGCCTGCACTTTTGCACACAAAGCAGACTTTTTTTTCTGGCTTTTTCCCCTCCCAAAGCTCTCTATGTTTATGTTTGGTTTTCCATCCTCAAGGCTCCCTGTAGCTGGGCCAAAGGTCACGTTACTGGAGTTTTGCCCTACTGTTCTCTGGTTTTCTCTGCCCCACTCTCCTGACCCTGAGCTCTATTACTCTTTATATTTTTCTCCAAGCATGTATCTGTTGCTCTTTAAGCTTATTTGAGTGTTTGACCAAGTCAAAAACAGGATAAATACTAAAAGACACAAAGTAGCTGAGGCATATAAATCAACTGTGTCCAAACCCACTGTAATCAACAGACTGTCCTAACAGGTAAAACAGACTGACACTTGCAAGTCCGCCCATTTAAAGTAGCAAAACTGACAAAAATCTGAGGATCTGCCACTAGCAATTCTAAATGTTTTTTTTAAGCACGGAGTTTCTCTTTGTCAGACATTACTACAGGTCACACTGAAAATAAACTAGAAAATAAACATGTCTGTTTCCAGCCATCTCCAAATGCATGAAAAACTTCTCTCAAAGCACATTTCTAATCCCAGGAGCATCATAGATGACAGCAGCCTTGGGAGAAAGGTGAGAATGGAAAGTTTTATCTAAAGGATACACCAGAAACAAGCACAGGTCATAAGTTCATTAAAGACTCAAGTACAAGAAGTGAATTCTGTAGCAGTGATACAAGACAGCCTACACACCATCATGGTGCTGGTTGAGCATTTATCAGCTTGCTTCTCGTCAGTTATGATACACCTGCATACACTCAGATCTCAAGATTCACTTAGGCTTTAACTTACACACTCAATAGATTTATAACAGTGAAGTTAATAACATTGTACTGCTTGACAGAAACTTCTGGTAGGCAATCCATTTACACACAATATTAATTGTATCGCAGCTCTCCATCAGATTTGATTACAAACCTTTCACATCATGCAATAAAATAAACCCGAGCATAAAAGTTCTGCCTGTCTGCTTTACTTTTGGAGATCTGGACTTACAAGACTGGCTTTTTCTTTGGCTGTTTGTTTTTGCTCTTCCAATTTCAGCTTCTCACTTAGAGCAATGTTTTCACATTTTAATTCATCAATTCTTTTCTGAAATGAAAAGACAGAGCACAGTAAGGCCAAGAATTCAGTGCACATCTCCAAAATCCCATTTAAGTTTTAGATCTGCAATGACTCAACCCCCAAATGTACCTCTAGCAATTCCTGCTTCTCCTTAAAGGAATCTTCAATTGACTTCCTTTCGGATTCATGGGCATTCTTGAGCTCTGCAACAAATTATTTTTGTAGATTTTTAATATATGATGATGACTTTCTTTTTTTTTTTTTTTTTTTTAGAAAGGACAAATAGCCAAAACACATAAGCACAGATGCAGAGTCACTGCCAACATGGAAAGAACATTTATCACAAACCATCCCAAAGCCTATACAAAGTATCAGATTTATCACCATTTCAGATTTGTGGGTTGTCCTCACAAACACATTTCATTAGCTGGCAGCATCTCAAGTTTGAAAGCACTCATCTACATGCAACAAATGGATGAATTGAGCACAGATCCACATCCAACAAAAGCTGAGCTTCTGAAGGGAATTAGAGGCAAAAAACATATCATGCGTCTCCCAGGCATTTATTGAAAAACATTTCCTTCCCTACTTTGGAAATATCACGCAGAAGAGCTCTTCAGTTATGCTGGAAATGCCTTTAAGGAGACAAAAGGATCACTGGAAATTTGCTTGTCAGGTGGAGTCAAAGGGAGGATGGAAACAGTCACCTCTTAAATCATCTAGACACCATGCAATGTCAATCTGAACACACCTCTTCCTAGAAAAAACTCCTCTCTTCCAAACAATGCATAATATTTCTCAACTTGAGAAACATTCCCACATCAATCTGGACGCCACCCAACCCTACCTAACGTTCATCTCAATTTGGAGGTGCTTCTTACAGAACTGCGGGGGTGGTAGGGAAAGAGTTGCTCCTTCACCATGGCATTTTGAGGGCAGGCTGTAATTTAGACACATCTTTTAGAAGTCATCTTAAACTGTTTTGAAAGTTTCATTCAATCATGATAGAAGCACGGTTGTTTCTGTATGTAAAATAGACTTGTTCAGATCCAAAAGGAGGAATTCAGCCAGCATTTGTAAGGATAGCTGACGAGCAAGAAGAAGGAAATGTACATATTCAGGTTTAATGTATTTGAATATTTTTGTTTGTGACTAGCAGTACTACGTTGTATGGACTTGAATACAAAATACTTGCCCGAAAAAGAGGATTCATATTTCTTTTTCAGCTCCTCTACTTTTTCTGAGTGGCTGTTTTCAAGTTGCAGCTTTAAGTTTTCATGTGTGACATTTAAGTTGTCCACCTGCAATATGACAAGATGAGTTTTTCCCCTTAGTGTGACATTTTAACCCTTGCTTAAAGTATTGTTATGGTGGTTTTATGCTGTGCTTAAGTCTAGGTAGCACTTAACAGATGGTCACAGGAAAAGCTAAGCCACATACAACACTTAATAGATGAGAACATTTTACAGACACCAACAGAATGTACGTGCCTCTCACACACATGGAATTGCTGCAAAGCAGGTTCCCAAGCCAGGTGTGGTTTTATAAACCTTAAAACTCAAGCTGCTTCAAGTACTTGTAGAGCTCCAGATGTAACCAAAGCTTGCAGAATGCTGAATTTCTACCATGTTAAAACACAACCTTAAGGCTTGGCCAGCTTTGCATACTAACATTTTCTTTTGTAATTGCAATCAAGTAGAGTTTCACATTAGATAAAACACATTCATTAATAGCCAAAATAAATAAACAAGTAAATAAATAAAGATTCCTCAAGGGCTCACTTGTAGAAAACAACTGTTGAAGAATATTCCTACTCCAAATACCACAAACCTGCTCCTGGAGCTGCGCTTTGTACTTCTCAGCTTCTTCAATGCAGATACTTTGGAGCTTCTCACATTCTGCGGTGTAAAACTGCTTGAGCCTCTCCTCCAGTTCAGCTAAATCGCTGTGATGCTGCTCATTTAATTTCTGCAGGAATCCTTCATAGGTAGCTTGCAGTTCATTCCTGTCTCTCTCCAATTTCTCACAAGCTGCAGAAGTTGTTACTGGAGATGGCAAAATTAAAAAAAAAAAAAAAGTCATCTGGTCAAGTTGATTGCTAAGTTCACAGCCCCATTACAGCTACTGAGGATGCCTGCTTAGGAACAGAGGCATACAAAGACAAGTATCATTTATCCATGAAACCAGTGCCACCTCCAAAGACACAAAAAAAGACCTTTGCAAAAATACTGAACACATTGTGTCTTATGTTAAGAATTAATTCAATCTAGTTAAATCAGGAACGCTCACATAAAGCACAAATGTGACAGTTTGTCATGACATAGAAGAATGAACGTCTCACTAGAGATACTGGAGTGCTCTAATAAAAAAATTAATTGGATTTGCTACTTCACCTAATTTGATCCCATTTCAGGAGCTATTTGTCAGAGTACTTCACTTTCTGATGTATAAACCACTTAGCTAAATTGGAATGTCTTAACATCCTGAAGGCCATCCATCCAGCATGCTACCCATGCTCAACTACAGAGCACTGAGGCAACTGCACAGACTGTCCTAAGCAGAGTAATACAGAAGCACCAATCTGAAACATACTGCTAACTGCGTGCACCAAATAGATTTAAATATGCAAGGCAGAGAGCAGCTCAGGCCCAGGGCAGCACGTTAAGGAAGCAAACAACAGAATACTTTACAGCCTCTCATACATTTTTATTAACAAAGGTAAGTAGAGGAAACTGCTTAGGTTTGTCTCTCTATATTTACTGAGTTGATTAAAAGGCAAAACAGAAACTTGTGCTTTAGAGTTTGAAATTTAGCACTTACACCTCCCACCAAAGGTGCTGGAACAGAAAGAATCCCTTTTCTGCTGATAATGTGACTGGAACAAACCCTTCGTGCAGCTGCACACAGGGGCTGGAAGCAAGGTGAAACAGGACTGCTAGCAGAAGCACGAGGTCACTGACCTCAAGCACGAGCACTTCTGTGCAGCATTTATCACTTTTGTTTAAAATAAATTTTAAAATTAATCAGATGAGTATCTCCTTAAGAGAAAAATCAACCAGAACGTTAACATGATCTTAAATGAAATGCAGGAGAGTTAATGTGCACACTCACTTCATAGCAGCTTGGCACACTGCCCAAACAACATAAACTCTGTGGAAGCATTAGAAGATTCAAGAATTTTGGTACAGGCATTACAGGAAATTCTTATCATAGCTTTGTTTGGGCACTAAGATACATGGATCGTAGATCTTCAAGGGCTGAGTCCCAAACCAGTCCCGGCTTTAGCTGTCCTGAAAGCAGCCTGCTTGAAGTTGGGCATGTGTCAGTTTTGCCCTCTGCTACAGCTCAGCAAAAGCAAGAGAATAAATGAATGGTACCTGCACTCCTTTAAGGAGAATGCAGCAAAGTCATGGCGCTACTGCGATCAATTGGTGCGTGCACTTGAAGTGTAGGAGAAAGCTGTATTGCATGGAGATCTCTTTGCATCTGTATCTGCTTGAATTACTGGTGCCTTTTTGTTGCAACTTTTTGTTTTAGAAACCAACCAACCAACCCCACAAGAACCCAGCTGCTTCAGCTTTGTGCAAGTGTTCTGTTGGAAAGCTCTGCTGAGCAGGACAGCACTAAGGTAAGCTGTTCATCCTGCCATTGGCAATGATGCAATGAAAAGCTCAACACAAACACATCACAACTTTCACTCATGATTTCACAGCTTTTTTTCTTTCCTTATCTTAATTCTTTCTATGAATGACAGTCATAAACAGATTCCTTTGGGGAAGGGAAAGAGAAAAAAAAAAAAGAGCAAACTCACATCACACTGACAAAGTTACTGACTGTGCATGCTTTGCATTTTCATGCTTTTGGGGAAAAAGAAATGTCATAGATAGGGGACATTATTTGTAATGCAAAGAAACAGGGAGAGAACCAAAAGGAAACATCACTCAACCAGCAACACGCAGAACGGATCTGGCCATTTAGCACTGAGTCATGGCAGCACAAAGGCAAGCAGCTCACATGCCTCATTTAAAGTAATTGTAGTGAACTGCTTCAGATGATCCACTTCCTCTAAAAATGGAGTCATCTGACTCTTGACTTATAAGGCCAGAGCCACTGCTTTGCCTCTGGTGAGCTAAAAGAATTTGCTGCCTCACTTTGCCTTGTCTTTAAATGTCAGCATAGAGATCTTCAGATGACGCAAAACATTTCAGAAAAAAATCAAACAGCAAACCCTGCCTTTGTCAAAGAGCACAGCCACATCAGGTCTTGTTCAGCCAGTCTGCAATCCAGATTTATGTGAAGACTCATGTTGTGAAGACAAACAAAAAGTAACTTTTAAAGTCTGCACCGGCAGTTGGAAGTTACCTTGAAGGTACGTCCTGGCCTTCGCACGGCCCTGCAGACAGCATTTCTTGCTGCACTCTTGCCATGCAGGCAGGGAGCAAAACCACCAGTGGGCTCCCAAGGACCATGAGCGTGCAGTGAACTGCATGTGAAGTTCCAGCAAAAGCTCCAACTGAAGAACTGTTCTGAAATTATGAGAAGCCCTCTAAACAACGATGGTCTGTCCCTTTGCTCAAGACTCAAGTGTCTGCTGCATTGTGCACAGCTCTGTTCATCTCCACACTCAGTAATACAATTTATGACTGCACATTGCCTTGTTTTAAGAAAGGGACAGGCCATGCAAGAGGCAATCGATCCTTTTGCTGGGCCACTTACGCACAGCAGGGAATACTGCAAAACTTCTAACTGACTTTGATAACTCAATGTAAGACTTCTCTCCCAGACCTGGTGTTTAATTTTGTGAAAAAAAGTTGCAACTAGAACTTGCACACTTCTAGAAGCACATAAAACTCCATTTCAACTTCTCATGAACTTCAGAGACATTCTGAAGTGTATGCTTGTTTTTCATACGCTCCTCTGCCTTCTTATAGCGCTTCCCTTCACAGTTCCACATCTTCCTTAGGCCACACATTACAAAATAAGACCACAGACTTTGAGCAAAGAGCAACAGGAGATGCAAATGGTCTGGCAGCATTTGAAAGAAAAAGTCAGTAAATCAAGCAGGGTTTACTTCATTACTAATATAGCAAATCCATTCTGGTTTTTTTTCTGCACTTGGTTGTCCCAGTGAATGATCCAAGACAAACCATCACCCCTGCATTATAACAGCACAGAGCAAGATTATTTCGTATTTCTATGCTTCTAACCCCTGTTTATTACACAGCACAATAAGAAGGTGGTTCTTTTGGGCAGAACCACCACCACCTCTGGCAATCACAGGAAGTTTCTGAAATTCGGTAGCAGCGTACCTTGTGACCAGAAATGCTGCTTTCAGCTTGTGAACTTAACACCTGTACGGAGATCTGAACAGTGGCCACTTCCATCCCACATGTGTCACTGCACAGTTCTGTGTGTGAGCTATCTGAACCCCAGCCTAGGGGACGTGGAAAGCGGGTGCCAGCAGCACCTTTCTGCATGAGAAACCACAGCCACAGAGGTTGCCCTTTTTCATAGAATCCCAAAGAAATCTCTCTCACATTTCCAGCAAAAGCAGCCAAGGGGTAAACCTTTACAATTGCACAGCATCTTTTTCTTACAAAATTTAGTTTGTTTTTATTCCAGTTACCTAACAATTCATCACAGTAAATCAATTCAGTCCTTATGGATCAAGTACTTACATAAAAACATTTCTCAACTTACTCTACTCTCACTTAAAAGCCACCGTAACTACAGCTCAGAGGAGATAAAACAGCTTACCTAAATTGAATCACTTTGAAGCAAAAGTTATCTTCATAAAACTATCCCTGGCCCAGCCATGCTTCATGAAACAAGAAGCCATGGGGCTGTCTGACATTCTGAAGCAGAGGTTGCTGAAGCAGCAAACTGGTGGCACTTTAACAGGTGTGGGGGATGTGAAATGAGGATCATTGCCAGAGAACACCAAGCATTTAGCATGGTGCTGCATCACAGTGCATTTTATTGTTCTTACTTTATTAATCACATAGGAATATTTGTGCGTATGTTCTGTTGACCAGCAGTTCTACTGGAGACACGCAGGCTTCTTTCCTTCACTATATAAAGGTTTATTATTATAATCATACAATAATTAATTTGCGTTTTTGGCAGATTCTTAGTATTGGAAATTCTTCCACCCAAGCATGCTTTCAGTTTATGACCAAGTTTCTCTGGGTGTTACCCATGCCACAGCGTCAAGCCAAGTTTTGGGCAAGCTGAAATGAGCCAGGTAAACCAAGAGAACGCTTTAGGGCACACAGAGGTGGGTAAGGCTGAATGCTCAGATGAAATACGCAGGTGTCTGCTGAGAAGAAAGCTCCTATCCTTCAGTACTACGAATACCACCACAGTGTCAGCAGGCAGGCAAACGCATGGGAAGGAATGCTTCTCCCCCCACATAACTGGAATGGACTGCCCAGGGAGGTGGTGGAGTCACCCACCCTGGGGGTGTTCAAGGAAAGGCTGGATGTTGTGTTGAGGGACATGGTTTAGTGGGAGCTATTGGTGATAGGTGAACGGTTGGACTGGGTGATCTTTTAGGTCTTTTCCAACCTTGGTGATTCTATGATTCTATAACTGATGGAAACGTCTAGCTTCTGTTAAATGCTTTTAAGAATTACCCAAACCTGGAAACCAAACCATATTTACTTCACCTGCCAGTAAAGAAACTGAACAAAAAAACCAATAGCCTTTATATCCCAACTTCCAAAGCACACCTTAAAGGTCATTTACTAATAAAAAATAGCACAGAAAATTATGTGAAAGTATTTCTGAAGAAAATGCTGTTTATCAATTGCAATGCAGAGGAGTCCAGTGTAGCTGCACAGGATACATGCACATCCCTCCTGCCCACTAAAAAGACTCCTGGCTGCAGGTTCAAAGGGGCCAGCAGCCACTGTGCCAGCCCTGCAGCACCACGGGCCTGGGCTGCAGCCAGCAGAGCTGCAGACTGAAATAATCCAGAGTCAAACTCACTGCAAGGAGCAGTTTCATGTCACTGTGGAAATATGCAGTTCTTGCTGCTTCTACTTACATAATTAAACAGGCAACTAGAAATGATTTATATAGCAGCTTGTACCTTAATGAGCAGGGAAATTTAAGCGACAAGCAGCATTTGGATCTGCTCCGGGTTCCCAGGACCAAAGCAGTTACATTGAAATCTCCCCCATTCAATCTCTGAGGCTGTGAATGGATCTGCCCCCCTCTGAAAAGCCCTTCCCCAACACCATCATGTCCAACCCCCCTCAGGGTGCATGGGGAATGCCCTCCATGCTTGCTTTAAGGACACCACAGCTGTCTAAGGGAGATCTTAGGGCAATGCAGCAATGCAGCTTCAATCAGCCCACACTGCTAACGCTCCATTTGCACGCTATCATTAGACAAGAATGTATTTGAATAGGAAGTGTATTACAGAATTACAGAATTTTACAGCAAGCCAGTCAGTTTTACAAGGTAGATAAAGGAGCCTGGGAACATACACAATTAAATTTCAAAAAGGCAGAAACCAAGGACTCAACACTGCAAGGTGTGAGCAGCAGCAGATTCTGTGCTCCTCTCAAACTTGGCAATATCCTGCACGCAGCCTACATGGAGCTTGACACACCTGGTTCCTCTTCCTAGATGGCCTAATCCCAGACTGTGAACAACATGCCTTACAAACACGTCAGCCTGGGACTCTGTGAGACCTGTAGTGTCTGTACAACCAAAGAAGATTCAAATGTCAGCCTGTGCCTAACTGACACCATCAATCAAAATTCTCAGAGCTTACCTCAAATAGCCTATGGGAACCTGAAGTACAGCTGTACACATTTAACAGTGGAAACACAAGCTGATTAGCAGGTGTGTATTTAAACAGGTTACTGTCAGCTAAAGCTAACACTGCAAGAATGTTTTGCAAAGCTGGTCAACAAGTGAGGGCCAGCTGGCTTTTTTATTTATCTACTTTAAACAAACCTTCTTCAAGCCAGATAGAACTGAAGACGTGTCCAGTTTTGCAGTACTGCAGTTAATACATTCCCATCCCATGCTAAGAGATACAGTCTACATGCATGATGGAGTTAAGACACAGGACCCTGCATGAAGATAAATGCTGCTCTGAAATTACAGTTTGGAAACCTGAGGCTGCCCTCAGCTGCTCTGCAGAGCTGGCACAGAAGTGTTACTACTGCAAGAGCACGGTGGTGGCCTTAGACAATATCACCTACTGCCAGCTCTGCATGTAGGTGCCATGCAGCACAGAGGGGCTGATTTGTCCAAAGCTGTCTGGGTACCCTTTGGCAGGACAGTGCATTCTTGTAGTAGGAGCCCCGTCCCAGGTCTCTGGAATGAACTAAGCTTTCAGAAAACAACCAACAACCAAAACTCTAAAAAATGGGCTTAGCGCTGGTGAGATTTTGGCCTATCCCACTAATCTGAATTTCCCTTTCTTGTTAATTGACCTGGATGTAGCACTCAGGCAGATAAAGGAAAGATAACGCTGCAGATGCAATGACAGGATAGAGAGGCTTACTTCAGAAGGACTGCTGTCAGAGCAAGAAGTGTTCATGATAATGTAAACAAATAGATTTGCACAGAAAGTTACATACATGAGTATACATACACACACGCATACAGAAAATAAATCTATGTCTTCATCATCTTCGCAACACAACTTCATAGGTCACCCAACAATGCAAGGAGCCTGTTTGCACAGTACTACTCTCACTCTAATTTTGTCACTTCAGAGTAGCAGATGTGCTGATGCTGCAGTCAAGGGACACAGCCTCCATCTCCCCCAGCAGCCCTTTCCCCTTTGGTTGTTCTGGCACTCACCGGGCAGGCAGGTGAGCCCAACCACTAGCTTTCCCAAGTGCTGACACAAGGACAGAAAGGCAGAGGGCTGCAAGGCTTGCTCACAGGCAGCTCCTACTGGGACTGGCCTGGAAGAGACACAAAACTGCAACCCTGACACTTTGCCACCAGAACTGTTAAAGGCTGCAGCTTGACAGATGCCATCGTGCACTAAGCTCTAGAAAAGCCTCCGCTCTTCAGCACTAACTTCCAGCAATGAAAACACATCTCTGAAACGCGTTTTGTATCTTTAGTACACTCATATACTTGCTTGGTCTGCAAGGCTTCCTCTGTTCATGCCACTACCCGCCAGGCTTTTAGCTCTTTCAACAGACTTGCTGATGGAGTCGCCCACCCTGCTAATCAGCACTAATAAAAAATCTGATAATTAAACATACACCTGCATGCAACAAGGCCTACCCACACAAGACAAGTTGGGCTGAAACAGCTTCCGAAGCATGTGAAAATACAAGTTTCCAACTTCTCAATAATCAGTCATGATCTAAAACTACTTCACACAAATCACTGCTGCTTCCCAAGGATCTTTCCTTTGTAAAGGGGTTCCATAACAACAGAGGTGAGCTGTCTATAAAAGGATAGCTTCATTTTCAAGCACCATCAGTTTCAATTTGATGACTTTTTAGACTCCACAAGATTATCCTGCTTCAAGATTGAATCAGTTCTATGAAGTTGCCATTAAATGCAGTCAAACCAAGCTTCAAAGTTTGCAAAACCAACCCTTGCACATTACAGCTCCATTTCATATTAGTTGTTTTCAAGTTTTCTGCTAGGCTGAGTTTAAAAATTTAATCTCATTAGCCTGATACCATTTCTTTCTGTTAGTTTCACATTTATTCACCAACAAGCAACTAACGGAAAACAAAGATTTTGTGCAGTGTATTTCACAGATTTACAGATTTCTGCTTCATATCTCTAGAAACAGCATACAAGGTGGGTATCTAGGCAGAGGGCTCAATGCGGGACAGCCTCCCAGGTTCAGGAAGGGAGTGCTTTGCCCTCCAGATGCAGATTCCATGAGCAGGGAAAGGCAGAGTGGTGCAGAGCAATGCAGCAGTGCAGCACCCAAGCAGAACTCAGCCAGGGAACTCATTGCCTGCCATTACAATGCCATGGCATCTCTCTTTCCATAGACCTGGTTTGCTTACAGATCTGTTTTCATTCAGATTTGAAAAAATAGTTTCTTACCTAGTTCTCCTCGCAGGTTGACTAGTTCTTGAGATAACTCTTTGTGTTGCTTCAGTGCTTCCTCCCTCTGCAGAAGGAAAAACAGAGACAAACATAAGTGATCCAAACAGGGCACCTTCCAATAACTTGCATGTGCTGTGTAGGAAAACAAGAGGCAGGAGCAAGAAGCCAAGCTATGAATCATTTAGGATAACAGTCCTGCTGTTACCAAATACACAGATGTCCTGTTGTTAAGCAAGTTATACTTTAAAACAGAGAACAGTTTTTTTCCAGGATAACACTGCAATTAAGATCCTGCTTCACAGCCATTAATTACATATTTTATGATGGGTGGAGCAACATAACCTTACAGCACACACCAAGCGATTGCTGACAAGGGCACCGGAGTACGGTGAAAGAGGCATGCACTAAGATAAATATCTGAAGCTTCCTTAAGGAAAATACAACAAGCACGACCCCCAAACTTTGCCAAGCGCTCTGGCTGCCCCCAGCAAGGTGCGTGAGGGGCTCGCAGTAGCACACAGAGGCGGCCGCTGCCCTCCCTGCTGCACCGGGGCGGGGAAAAAAAAAAAAAGAAAAAAAGAAAAAAGAGACAAGCCCACCCCCACACCGCCGCCCCCCAAAGCAGCCCAGCGCGAGGAGCCCCCCGGCAGCGTTACCCTGGCTGCGGCGCACTGGGGGTAGAGGCACAGCCTGCTGCTGGCGCAGCCCATCTCGGGGCAGCCGCAGCCGCGAGCGCCGCCAGCCGCAGTCCTGCCCTCCGCGCAGCCGAGCCCCGGGCTCCGGGCGTTTTCCCGGCGGAGGGGAGGGGAGCGCTGCCCTTCCCCTCGGCCGCGGCAGCCCGCGCGCGCCCCGTGGACGCGCCGCTGCCGCCCTGCGTGCGGGGACGGCGCGGGGGAGGCCGGGCGGCCGGCGCACGCCCCGAGGCAGGCTGGCGGCGGAGCTGCAGCGCAGGCTGAGCCGCGGCTTTGTGCCGCTCCTTCCGCCGGGACGCGCCCGGCGCAGCGCGGCCGTCCATCCCGCATGGGAGCGTCCCGCTGCTCGACCCGTGCGGTCCGGCCGTCCCGGTGAGAACCGCGGGCTGAGCGCTCGCTTGGACACGGACACGCTTGGAGAGCTTAAGCAGCCGTGCCCTGGCTCGAGCGCCGAGACGCTTTCACACCACCGGAGCAAAAACCTGGAATGCTGGAAACCTCTCCTCGTCCCCATGCTAAGCCCCCTGCTGAGCAGGGAGCTCCACCGGCTGCCCACGGTGCTGCCCCGGTCCCGTCGGGAGGAGGGGGGTCACTGCTCTGCTCCCTGCAGCCGTGCCCACCTCAAGACCCAGGACGGCATGCTGCAGTGAGCCGAGCTCTGGCAATGCCAAGCAGGAGCTTTCCAGCAATCGAACCACCAAAGCATTTTCCAAAGCTTCCTTCTGTAGTAACCTTATTCATTATTAAATCAGTGCACACTGAGGAGGGTGGATGTTCTTTACCACTCCCTTCCAGCTTCACTTCTTTGTTTGCATACTCACTCTTTATCCTAATTCTAAAAAATAACCATCCTCGAACCCAGGTTCTCCCAGCCTGCCTGAGTTAGTAGGACAGCCTGATTTTCCTTCCCCTCAGCCTAATGGCCGGACCACGCAGCAGCCTCCGGGGAGATGCTAATATTTGCAGTGAATCTTCCCAAAGGCCTTCCTTCCTCATGGTCCACAGAACATTTTGTATCCCTTTTAATTAAAACAATCTGATGAGGAAAGGACACATATTAGAATACACTAAGCACTGACCAGAGGCCAAAACCTTAAAATAAAACGAAGTATCAGCTGCTCAATTGACACACACATAAATATATACATATATATATTACATTTCTTGCATTCTGCTGCTCTTGCACCCTTCCCCTTTTTACTGGTGCTGTTGAATACTATGCCCTCAGTCTCCCACTTGCCCATTTGGTCTTCCAAACCAGAAGATCCATGCAGACTTTTATCATGACCACTCATGAAAGCACATTCTCAGAGAAGGCCAGGCATGCGCTGCCAGCCTAGGGGACAGGATGCCCAGAGAGGTGGTGGATGCCCCATCCCTGAAGACACTCAAAGTCAGGCTGAACCAGGCTCCGAGCATCCTGATCTAGCTGCAGGTGTTCAGCTGCCCTGCAACAAAACAGGCAGTAGATGATCTTGAAAGGCCCCTTCCAATTCAAAGAATTCTACGATTCTGTACAGAGGCAGTCTGAGGTGGTCATACAGTTAAGCAGCCACATTCAATACTCAGATTGACAAGCAATTCATTTAGCACTACTATCATCTAAGTTGTGAAATAAAGCTCCAGCTATAGCGGTCTTCCCATGAAAACTCAGAAGTTTAAGACCTGAGATTAAAGTGTAGTAAAATACCCAAAACCACTTGAATGATCCATTGAGAACCATCTTCAGTGTTTAGTTTGAAGACAGGCATGTGGGTACTTTGTGCTGGAATATCAAGCTACCTTCTAGCTCGTATTTCACAAGATTCTAGATGAAAATCAGTATTAGAAACTGAAAGAACAGATCCAAGAGGCAGGATCAAGCAGTTCTGGCATTTCTCCAGATAAATCTGGCAATAACAAAGAGCTTTTTCTAGCAAGATGATCCTTGAATCACTGTCAAAGACTCAAGGAGGGTCTTTGTAACAGTTCCTGGCAAATATATGAGCTTAATGCAAGATCATGTAGAATGGCTGAGGACCTATTTTTCTCATTTCAAAAGAATCTGTTACAGCTGTACAAGAAATTCAGTGTAGCTTTCGCAAAAGCAAACGTGGAAGCAATATGAAGCAATGAGAATAGAGCTGGGGGATAAAAGCTTTGCCACAGGCACCACTATTAATGTGCACTTCTCCAAGAAGATGCTGCAAAACAGTTCTCAGCATAACACTGGAGCCTTAGACATTTCTTGTTATGTGAAAGATTACATTAAAAATCCTCCACAGTTCTTGAGAATTAGTCAAGAAACTCCGGGGAAAAACGTTCCCAACAGAAAGGACACTGTGATCAGGTGAAAACATGAAAGCAGGAAAAACGAGGAGGTACAAGGTGGGGGGAGGATGTGACTGTTTCAAGATGGCAAAGCCAGGATCAGAATAAACGACAAAATTTCTTATTTGGATTTTTGTTACTGGCAATTACAAAGCGCAGTTACAGGCTTAAGAGTGTTTTTCCTAGCAACCAGCTGTTTTTACTGCAGTTCAAACAGATCAGCCTAGTAGCATTTTAGACAAACAATGGAGAGAACACATCAAGGGCAGAACAGTTCCCATTGCTCTGCCTTTTTCAAAAGCAGGATGCTCTGCACAGGTCTACATTCCAAAGTGAATAAGAAAGGTACCCAACACCAAGCACACAAACAGCCGACCTTCTGGGCCATGCACATATACCAGATGTTCAGCTGTGACAGAAGATACCTCCAAGAGCTGAGGTATCAGCACTTCCAACTGGCAGGTATTGCTCAAACAACCCACACAGCAACTTTGCAGACCCCAGATCACAGAGCAGGCAGTTTTATGGCAAACTGGTAACTCCTACTGTCAACGCTTCCTTGTGAGGCTGCACCAGGCCAACTGCTTTGGATTTCTCAGCCCATCCCACTGCTGGCTAGATGGTGTGGAGCTCCACGTTCTGCTTGCCAGTCACAGCTTAGAGAGACCTAGGTTGGCCGTGCTCCCCTAAGAAGAGGGCTCAAGAGTCCTGTTTTCCTTTGGCAAGTTTTTCCTCCCAAGTTAACTATAGTAAGCCCTTCAGCAGCTATCAAATGCAAACAATGAACCACGGCAGGATTTCAGTCTTGAGTACATGTGCCCAATAAGTTAATGTCACCCATCTTCCATCACACTCCTTTTTGAAAGGGAAATGTGTGCTCCTTAGGAGTTGTACTTAAAAAAGAGCCACTATTATTGTGTTTTTTGTTGTTCTTGTTGTTGTTGTTTTGTTTTGTTTTTAAATATCAAGCAGCAATGTGGGATCAACAAGCAAATCACAAACTCCTCAAACATTTCCGTAGTCTACCCCATGCAATGCATCATTCTTCCAGGATTTCTGCAGCATTTCCAAGTTAGCAAACTTCAAGCAACTGCCATTTTACGAAGTCCCACCACTAAGTTTTTCAGTTCTCAGATTAATATTTCTATATCTTGCAAAGCCTTGATTGTAAATGTTCACTTTCTGGTTTGAAACAAGTATCATGCATGGCTCCAACAGAACACTGCAAAATACCACCATATTTACTATGGAATAGCCACATCCAATGTTCAGTACTGAAATATTTAAAGAAATAAGGTGGTGCTGTAGGACTCTTTTCATGACAAACATCCCTGCTTATTCTGGGATATTCTTCTCTTAGGGCTGTGATGCAACATGGTCCCTTCCAAGAGAAGAGGGAGCAAAGCTGAGATGATGCTATCATGGCATGCACAAACACAGGAAGCTTTTGAGTAACACAAAGGCAGCAATCATACCTGCTACAGGCAGAACCAAAAGGTTGGAAGCAGCTCTGACCTGAATGGCTACACATCAGCCTTCTAGCTTTATCACTAACACACCTCTCCTTAACAAGGCATTTTGAGAGTTGATACATACGGGAGGTGAACAATCTTCAACATATAAAATACACTGGCTGTTTTATAAAACATTCTATTAGAAAAGACTAAATAAAACTTGTTCAGAATACATAAGACAGAAATTCATCACGGGCAGCAAGAACAGAAGCATTTGTGTGCTTTACTGCCATACATAGTGTCAAATTAATTTTATTCCAGGAAATGAAGGGCTGGTTTTGAAAGCCATCTGATATCAAACCACGAGCACTTACTCCTGAAACCGTATTCAGAGGGAAATATTGACTATCTTAAATAAATAAATAATGGTTATTTGCAAGCAATTCTGTAATGTCAGTGCTTAGACCTCACAGGACACTGACATTGTTTGTACAGAGGAACAGATTATCATTTAACTATTTTTTAATACTTGAGCAGGTTCAGTTGTCAACAATTCCCAGCACAGAGTGGATCGCTCTCATCCAAGCAGATACTCTCTTGATCAGACA